TAATTTTTTAAAAAAAATTTTTTTTTTCAGGAGGGAACCAGCAGATGGCATAATGGCTACGTCTCTGGACTCCCATGGAGTGGACTGCCGTTCGAGTCCCGGACCCGGTGGCTTCAAATGCACGTTGGATGTATGTGTCTGGGTGCCCAATATCCTGAGAGGAGACCGGAGGAGGAGGGATTGTGGTGTGGCCATCCCCACCTGGGGTGGGGGGGTTGATTTGTCACTTTCTATCTCTCTGTTTCTTTCTCGGGTGAGCACATAAACCCTATAGCAAAGACCTAAAAAAAAAAAAAAAGAAAGAAAGAAAAGAAACAAGTCCGAGGGGCCAGCAAGTGGCACAGTGGTAAAGGCAGTTGGATCCCATGTAGCCCACTCCAGGGTTCAAGCCCTGGACCCGGAAGCTTGAAAAACATGCCCGGCGCCTGTGTGTACGTGCCGCAAATCCTGAGAAACTGGAGGAAAATTGTGGCGTGGTCATCCCCACCCCCTGGAGGGGTTCCAGTTTCTCTGTCTCTCTGTCTCTCCCTGCTGAGCACATGCACCCTTACAGCAAAGAACTGAACAACAGTGCTGGGTGCGGGGAGGAAGGGGTAACATCAGGGCACCCTGCAGCCTCCCCAGGAAGGTGAGGGGAGAGTGGGGAGGGACTAGAGGGTGTGGGAGGGGGAAGAACAGAGTTTAAAGGTCACCATGAGCCAGGCTGGGTGGAACCCTGTGATCGGCGCTGGTCCCCCTGCAGCCCTGTCCCGGGGACCCACAGCCTCCAAGCCACGCCCACCTGAACGGCCTGGCATCTGGCCCCCGTTCGGCGCGTACCTGGAGGTCACGGTCCCAGCGCTGCTTGCCGGCCAGCAGGGCGTCCAGGAGGGGCCGCATGCCCTCCTCCTTGCGCTGGTCCTGGCCGCTGATGACGTAGCAGAGGGCACTCTCCTGCCGGAAGAAGGCCTCGTCCACCAGGGAGGCGCTGCTCCCGCCCGGCAGGTAGGCCAGGTCCAGGTAGACCGGGAAGCCCGGCGGGGGGGCCGATCTGGCCGCTGGGCGGGCGCCCGCTGG